TTCAACAACTGTCTTCATTTAACCGGCGGCGACGCCCCACATGCTGACAGCCTGGATATCTGTGGATTGGGGATGGAGTTTGGGGCTGAGGAACTTGAAGAGTCTGTTACCTTTTATTTCATTGTATTTCATTGTATTCCAGTATTTCATTGTATTCATTGTCTTTTGTTTCATTGTATTTCAATGTATCTCGCTGTATTCCATGTATTTCATTATATTCATTTTCTTTTGTTTCATTGTATTTGCTTGCTGTATTCCATGTATTTCATTGTATTCACTGTCTCGTTGTATTCCATGAATGTATTCATATATTTTTTAATTAATATAAATTTATGTATTCAGATGTATATATGTATTCAAATGTATCTGCAGTATGTATTCATATGTTTTTGCACTATATATGACCTGCTATACTTCATATATTCAATGTATTTTTATGTATTTAACTGTATTCAATGTAATTATATAATTTCAATATATAAATCTATTTGTAAAGATATCACTAAAAAATATTTTAGTAAAGATACCACTAAAAAAGAAAGGATTGATTGAATCTCTGAAGATTGCTCTGTTTTTAGGGTGTTTTTCGGTTAAGAATCTTTTCTATAATTGGAAATACAAATTTTGTGTGTTATTTATATTAGGAGTCTATCGCGTTAATTGATTCACTTACCGTTTTTAAACAACTGAAGACCTTCTTTTCCGCAAATTCTGTTACTGTATTCACGAATACAGCTCGCGAATAGAGTCGAATACATTCTCTGCTTAGCTGGACTCCCCTATTTTCCGCCGAGTTTTGCTACTGTATTCATGAATACAGTAGCAAAAATACATCGAATACAGTCTATAACAGCATAGCTATAGGAAGTAATTTAGTAAATGGTAGCTATAACAAGCTAATAATCACTAAAACATAGTGGTTTCTGAAAATTTCTCAACTTTAAATGAGTTGAGATGGATTGAGTCAAGATTGACTGAGTTTAATAAATAGACGGGTCAATAACCAGCCCAATCTTAAACGGGTTGGGCTTGTTATTTGGACTTGGGCCAAATTTGGCTGCCCTATATATATAGATTCTATTCTGAATTATGAATATTGAGTACTCATGAGTTATTTACTGGAGCCTAAGTTGTTTTGAGAGTTGATATTGTGGTTTATGGAAGTTGGTACTTGTAATTTGCATAAATTTCATTCTTTTAGGGCATCTCCAACCTTTACCTCATTTTTGGTCCCCAAAATGGGGATTCCATTTTGGGGACAACTTACTCCAACCATTCCTCCATTTTTTTCCCCAAACTTTTTTATATTCTTCTCTCTCTTCTATATTATATTATTATCTTTCATTTCAATTTCACTTTTTAATTTCCATTAAACAAATTCCATCTTTTATTTTTATTAATTTGTAATTTCCATTAAAATAATTTCATAAAATTTTAAATAATATAATTTGTAAGCAATTATTATAGATTAACTAATAATTCAAATAAAAGTGAAATCATTGCGATACAAGATTAATTAAATACATATTACATAATGATCAAATTCATTTAATGTATTTTCAATCTTCACTTATCAATTTTAGCAACATCTAATATTTTATATTTGCACCTTTCAATTTTAGCAACATCTAATATTTTATATTTGCACCATTCATTTTTTGAGATAATTATCTATTTTTTTATACAATTATAACTTATAATAAAATTAACTTACAATTTTACATAAAAATAATAAATGCACGAAAATTAATTTATCAAAATTATACACCAAAGTTAAGATGTAAAATTAATATTATAAAGACATTACATAAACATAATTAGGTATATATAAAGAGATAAATTAAAAGATTAAATAATAAAATAATAATAAAAAAGTGATGAATAGTAACGGGGGAGATGAATAGTGTACCCCATATTTGAGGGAACACTATTCATCCTCCATTTTGGGGACAAAAATGGGGGAGGGTTGGAGCTAAATTACCCCAAAAATTGCCCCCATTATGGGGAATGGGGGTAAGGTTGGAGATGGCCTTAGGGCTTCGTGGAAGAAGTCGACCTTTGGAATTTTAATGATTTTATTGAATAATAATGTGTGTTTTCTTGGTGTTGAGTTGAGCAGGAAGCAGATAGAAATGTTCGGAGCGAGTTTGTCAAGTAAGGAAATTTTTACTGCGCATGAGAAGTAATTTTGCCTAGAATAGGAAGGGAACGAAATGACGTTATTGTATATAATTTGATAAATGTTGCCATTGGTGATGATTAATACTCTATTTAAGATAAAACAATGTACTAGTTTCAAGAAATGGAACTCGAATCAGTCCGGCAAAAGTAGTTCAAAAAATAATAATTCAAAAGTAGCAGAAAACAGAAAACAGAAAACAGTCTGTTAATGGAGAATTATCTTTTTTTTTTTTTCTCGATAGCTGATGTGATGCATTTGGATTGCCTTTTGTGATTGTTTCATCTACTCCCACGTTCTTGCGACAACTTTTCCAGCGGATTGCGTTTTACTTTCATTATTAACAACTGAGTGACATGTATACAGTACATTCTCTTTCGTGAATTCTTTTTTGGATATCATTTATGTATGAAACATTTCTTTTCTTTAGCAGCTGTTTAAAATCTTAGGAAACAAATAAAAAGCTTCGAGTTAGATTAATTCACATCCGTATATGATATATCAAGTTTTAATTTCCAGGTTGTTGCTACGGTGCCAGAGGAGACATAGCTTGTGATCCGTACCATAAATACAAGGTGTAAGCAATCATCTATCCATTTTTAAATTTTTAGTTCACTGCTCTTAATTTGAGTGCTTTCCTAACTTACTAAAATATATGATTCTTTACCTTACGCCTTATGCATAAATAAAATAAACAGGAAAATAAAAAATAACTATTTTATGTGGAAAATCGCCCGGCTCAAAGGTGCAAAAACCACGACCTACCACGTAGAATTTTAACTTCAACTTCACTAGAACAACTGAGCCAAATGTGTCGATTAGAACTCTTGTAACCTAATACACCTCCACACATCACCTACTTCTACTTATTATGAAGATTACAAGTTACTTTAACTTCCAAACTTAGACAATACTCCAACTAACATTGTTTGAATGAAATCACGATTGCAACTCAATCTCCTAATACACATGAACTAAACTGCCTCAAGTAGATAAGAAATTAACTTCCAGAACAAACTTGATCAGTAATTTCACGTGCGTTTTGAACTGGAAAACTATGCCTTTTTCTTCAGTCAAGGTATAAAAAGGATAAATCTTCGACAGTCCATAGGCAAGGTATTTAACTCCTCACAACTCCGAGATCTTTAGGAGTCTTTAGCACAGTCAAACTCTCGTTTACTTGCAAATCCTAAGATCATAATGACTCCTCGAGCTTTGTGACTCGTATTTGCAAATATCCTTAGGCAACAACCCTTATCGCATCAAGAGTCCTTCCCACCAATATCGGGCTGCAGTAACTTTTGCGTAAAAAGTTATTGTTGTAAGGACATTCAACAACTATTGTAAGAACCTGGTTCTTAGCACATGTTATGACACACACTTGTTAATCATCGAAACTCATAACTCAACAAATTCCTCCTTTTTGATGAAGTCAAACTTTGCGCTTATGAACCAGGGTAAGAACTATCAAACCAACAATAGAAAATAAATATCAAATAATCAATTATCAAGAACAAGTGAACTAGCAGACGAACACCCCACATTCTATTTTCCCCCTTTTGGCTTCATAAAAAAACAAAAAAATTGTGAGTTGAACTATGCATCCATTCTTAATACAAGATTCATGGCCAGTGGGGCTACACAAAAAGCACAAGAGAAATTAAAGCAAAATGAATGATGCTGATGATATTAACCATGTGAGAAGCATAAAAAAACATGAGAGAATTCATAAAATAATGCCAAATTAAGCCAAGGGCCTTGATCAAAAGGCATTAAAACAAAATAAACTAGATATTCCTGCACACTAATCTGAACTAGACACAAAAGAAAGGATAAAACACAATTGGGCTACTAGAATTAGACGAACGATAGGGGGATAAGGACCAAGGCCAGGGGTGAGATGTAGAAGGGGACAAAGCCTTTACAAGAGTTGCAATTTGTTGTGCATGAGCTTCTCTGAGCTTCCTCAGCTCTTTCCTAAGATGCTTGGTTTCCTTTCTCAGTTCATCATTATCTTCCCTGAGTTTAGCATTTTCCTCCAAGGCCAACTCCAACCTCTTAGAAAGCTCAGCAGCCCTGCTGCTTCTAGGCAGAATTGCAGTTCTAGTTGGACCTCTAGCCTCGATATCACAATAGCCACATTGTCTGAGTGCGACTGCATCTAGGACATCCTTGTGATTACCCAATTTTAGCTCAGGCAGGGAGATATTGAGCTTGTCAAATAGCTCAGTCAACATGAAATCATATGGCATATCATGCTTAGGCTTGGAAGTGTCTGCAACCCTTGCCCATATGTTGGATCATCAAACTAGGAAGGTTGATTGCCTTACCAGTGTCCAACAGTTCCATCACAGCCATGTCAAGTAGACTAGCCTCATGCCTCCTCTCAGACTTCTACGAAATGCAGGAATTCACAAAATGGAACAACAGCTTGTGAAAAGGTGTCATATCAGTCTTATACACCTTTTGAGGAGCATCTAGTTCAAATTTCTGGGAAAACTTTCGGCTGACCATAATTCCTCTATCCAAGTTCTTCAAAATCAAACTCCAACTCAAAGTCTCTCATAAAGCTCTTCACCACTTTTCCATCAAATTGAAAGTTAGAATAGACCTCAACCACTGCAGGTGCACAAATAGAGGGAAAAATGTTTCACAAGCATGTGTGTCCATCCCTGCATGTCAAGCTTCTCTGCCAACTGAACCATTCCCTTTTCATCAATGTTTGTTAGGATTTTCCCATTCAAGACCTTTCTACATTTGAACTCTGCCATCCCGTCAACTACTTCTGACTCAGCATTTTTTTCTTCCATATGATATTCTTCTAAGAAGTAGGGGCAGTTGCCTTGATAGGTTTGACAACAATCCTTTTCACTAATGATTTTTTGCCCTTATGGGAAGAACCAAGTTCATCATCCTCATCCAAATCCATAACAGCTTCAACAACTGCAACTGATTTCATTGTTATTTTGGTACTCCTAGCTTCCTTGATCATTTGCTCATTAGCAGCCTTTCTCTTACTCCTGGTAAGATGGGTTCTAGTAGGAGGAGCCACCTCCTCCTTTCCATGTGAATTTGTTTTTTTAGGTTTTGCTGGGGCTTTCTTCTTCTTTCCCACCTCAAATAATGGCAGCTCATCCTCATCACTTTCAACTTCCTCATCTCCCAGGAAAGAAGTTAAGGAAGGCCTTGGTTCCTCCGAACATTCCTCTTCATTGACTTCTTCCAAAGGAGCCATGACTGTATTTTCAATAGTTATAGAGCCTTCAGATTCATCACTCTCAGATTCAGAGTCCTTACCCTCACTTTCTTTTTCATCATCTCCTACTCCCTTGTGATCATTTTCCTCACTCTCAGAATCTCCTTCTCGCTTAGTTCGCTTTTCTTCTTCTGAATCTCCCACCTGCTCTTCTTTTTCTTTTTCTGATCTACCCTCATTCTCCTTTTCTCATTCACTCTCATCCTCGCTTTTCTTTACTTCTGAATTATGATCCTTCTCTCCTTCCACTTCTCCCTTTTTATTTGTTTCCTCATCCTCCTCCCCATCAGTCCAACTATAAGTACTCTCATTAGAACCTTAATTCTCCCCTATTTCTTTCTCACCTTCCACCTTGGCCACAAACTGTTCTAGCAACTACTTCTACATTCACAGGTTCTGCTACGGTCATTTTTTTTACCACAGATGTTTCTACATGTGTTGTATATCTCAGGGGTTCAACTATATCTAGAAGGGACACATCTATAGCAGATGCCAAAACATCAAGTTTTGACGGAGAAGATTTTACTAGAGCAGCCTTGTCAATTGCAGGTTCCCCCTGAGCAATGAGAACCTTAATTTCTGGTTCTCCCTTTGCAACAACATTGTCAACTGATTTTCCTTTTTTTTTTTTGCTAACTTCCTTGAAGTGGCCTTGACATTTGTAGGTTTGGAGGTGATCTGTGGTGTAGTCATAGTGGCTTGGGTGGTTTTTTTTTGGAGATGGAGGTGCAGAGGTAACAGAGGATGGGGGTGGAAGAGTGACAATGGGTGGTGGTGCAGTGATATCAGAGGATGGGGGCTAAGAAGAAACAGGTTATGGTGAAGAGCTAACTTTTGATTTCACACTCTTCTTTGGCTTAGCCTTCTCAGCTTTGGATTTAGAGCCAGGATTTGAGGATGATTTAATTTTTGAGGGATTCTGGCTGGGCTTTGTCATGATAAAGAAGAGACAAGAGAATTTGCTTTGTTTCTTGCTTAGGTTTGAAGGGAAATAGTGAATTTGAGATGAGGTGCGAAGAGATGGCTTTAAAGAGGAGTAGTCTTGATTTGACTAGAAGAGAGACGATATTGATTTGAGTCCTAATGGGACTCTAACAACGAATATATTTGACAAACAAACTTTTTGAATTAATAGGACGCTTAACTGAATAAAATTCTCCCTTGATCTTTGACTTTGATAACAGATAGAATTGATGCCTACTAGTTTAGGAAGTCTGATTACAACAGTAATTCTAGTTATTTAATTTCAATACTTAATGACAAAATGATATGTACCTGAGTTGAAGGACCAAATCCTTTGCAATTCCTTAGTCCTCTCCATAGTAAAGCTTTAGACACAATAGGTTAATCTCATAAGACACCGGCACCAGTTAGATTTTCAAGGCAAGTGTGAATACTTAAAAACAAGTATGAGACTAAATCAAGTATTTGTTAATCAAGCATCTATATCTATTGCCCTTTTCATAGCCAATCATTGAGAGGAACTAATTCTTTCAAGATGATCCCTGCTCAGTGACCTAGTAAAAATGTCAAGAGTTTGATCTTCAGTTTACATAAATTTATTGAGATATTTTTTTTCCACATTATCTTTGAGAAAGTGGTGTCGGATATCATTGTGTTTAGTTCTCCTATGCTGACATAGATTCTTAGCAATATTTATGGCACTGGTGTTGTCACAAAAGATATGAACACAATCAACAAAAATACCATAGTCCCTGAGCTGCTGCCTTATCCATAGAAATTGTGCACAACATGATGATGCTGCCACATAATCTGCTTCTGCTGTAGATAGGGCCACTGAGTTCTACTTCGTTGTTCCCTAACACACAATACAAGAACCTAAAAGGTGAGGTTCTACAGAGTGCTTTTCCTATCAACATGAAAACCTGCATAGTCAGCATAAGCATAATCGACTAAGTCAAAATTGTATCCTCTTGGATATCACATGCATAAATCAGGAGTTCCTTTCACGTATCTGAATATTCTTTTGACTACCTTTAAGTGTTTAATTACCTGGCCGGTCATTTTGTGTATTTAAGCATTGTTTCCCCTAATTGATGCTTTAAATATGTGTATTTGATCTTATGTGACTTGCGGGGTTGGTTGACTTAGCTTCAAGGACATTCTGAATTGAACTGGGACACTTAGGGTGGGTTTGGTATGAAGGAAAATATTTTCCTAAAAGATATTTTCATGGAAAATGAGTGACTTTACCTTGTTTGGTTGGTGAGTAAAAAACTTTTTCCGAAAAATATTTTCTAATGTTTGGTTAGAGAGTAGAAAATATTTTTTATGCTACTCTCCTCACCCCCTTCCTTCGAGTCCCCATGTTTCATGTGTTCCACCCTCCCCCTCCTCCCCTAAAAAAACACCTAACATTTTCAGGACTCTATTTTCTTCAAAGAATTTAATTATTCTTCTAAAAAATTCACATAAACCCAAAGGAACAAATGTGTTGGTTTACTTTTTATGCAAAAACAATATAAATTTGTGTTACATAACTCAAAAGAATATACTCTTTTTTTGTTAAAAAAAGTACTCTTTCTACAACGTAAAAATAAAGTATTCATTTTATTGAAATAAAAAAAAAAAATTACTTTTTCTACGTCATTAAAAGAAAATACTCATTTTGTTGAAATGAAAGAAAAAACTTTTTAGAACATCATAAAGTATAAGGCAAACTTAGTACTAGAAACAAATTACTTGTCAATTTTAGTGCTTTCTCTCATTGTCGTGATAGTAATTTAATGCTTTTATTTGTCTTTTTTAGTTTTGTGCTTTCAAGTTTATCAATTGTAGGCCTAAGCAATATAGTTTGAACATAAACAAAAAGGTGGGGCGGGGTTGGGTGGGGTGGGCGTGAGTGGGGGTGGGGTAGGTGAGGGTGGGGGTGGATTGGTAAGGATGGGGAATAAGGTGGGGAAGGTTGAAATAGAGTTTTGTAAAATATTTTCCTTTCTCTTGATAGAGAAAATATTTTCCTCCAATTGGAAGAAAATTAGTTCATGAGGAAAATATTTTCCAAAACAGTTAAGCCAACCAAACATGAAAAAATTGAAAAATATTTTTCGGAAAATATTTTCCTTCCTAGAAAACACACCCTTAGTCTCAAGGTTCGGTGCTTAAGTTATAAGAGTTGACGGGAGTTTGACTTTTATGTAGACAACCCCGAAATGGTGTTTTGATGGTTCCTATAGGTTCATATGGTGATCTTGAACTTAGGTGTATGTACGGATTTTGATTTGGAGGACCGTAGGTTAATTTGATATTTTTTGGTGAAAATTGAAAAGTTGAAGGTTTGGAATGTTCATAGGTTTGACCAGGAGTTGAATTTAATGATATCGGGTTTGAATTTTAGTTTCGGGAGTCGAAATAGGTCTATTGTGTTATTTGGGACTTGTATGCAAAATCTGAGGTCATTCCAAGTTGATTTGATATTGATGGACATGAGTATTGGAAGTTGAAAGTCATTAGTTCCTTAGGTTTGAATCGAGGTGCGATTCGCGGTTTTAATGTTGTTTAATGTGATTTGAGGCCTCGAGTAGGTCCGTGTTATATTTTGGGATTGGTTGGTGTGAGTGGACGGGGTCTCGGGGGCCTCAGGTATGTTTCAGAAGGGGGGGGGGGAGGGGGGTTCATACCATTTCTCCTTGTTTTGCATCAGCTGTCTTCAAGTATTTGGTGTCCATCACGATCATGGAAGGAGGGTAGCGATCGCGGAGAGTATTTGGTGGTAGGTGAACTTTGCACTTAGCATTCGCGATGGAGAGGTCACATTTGTGGAGCTTGAGGAGCCGTGGATTTGACGTTCGCATAGAGGGAGTCACGTTCGTGTACAAGGGAAGAATGGTCAGGCGCGTCGGGTTTTTATCCTTCATGATCGTGTGGGAAGGTCCTCATTCGCGTAGGCTTGGTAGCTAGTGAATCGCGATCGTGAGCCTGGGGCAGGTTCGCATACGGTCTTTTGTGAAACTGGAATTTTTGGTTTTCGCGCTCGTGATAGGGGTCCCGCGATCGCGATGCATATGCTTGGGAAGACCTTTAAAATATCATTTTCGGGACTTTGAATTATTTTATAAAATTTGAGATTTGGAGCATAGATTTGTGCTATTTGGAGGGAATTTTTACAATTTGGATTGGGGTAAGTGTTTTTGACTCGGATTTGATTATTATTCATGATTCCGGCCTTTATTTTAGCAATCTAATGATGAATCTAAGTGAATAAATTGAGAATTTTAGTAAAAACTTTTCTAAATGAAACTTTGAGGATTTGAACCCCGATTCGGAGTCAGAATTGGATGAAACTAGTATGGTTGGACTCGTATTCAAATGCATGTTCGGAATTTGTGACTTTCTTTTGGATTCTGGGAAGCGATCACGGGTCGAATTTTTTTATTTTGTTCAAGATCTAAGCTTTATTGTTTGGGGCAATTTCCACGACATTATTTGATGATATTAAGTTGTTTGTGACTAGATTCGAGCCGTTCAGAGGTCGATTCGCAGGAGAAGGGCTTTTTAGAGTACTGACGCACGTATTTTAAGGTAAGTAACATATCTAAACTTTGTCTGAAGATAATTATCCCTTTGAACAATGATACTTGAGATGTGTTGGGGGTGACGCACGTGCTAGGTGACGGGTATGTGTGTGTACAGCATAATATCCATGATCTGGGTGGACTTAGGCTACTATAAGACTTGTTTGCTTTCATGCCTCGTTATATCCGAGTTTTTCCTACTTGTATGATTATTTGAGCTATGGTTCATATTAGAAATCATGTCTAGGCAATGTACTTATTTGTTTGAGGCATGATAGGGTTATTATTGTTGTGTTGAGCTGTTTGCCTTGATTGTAGTCATATTCCCAGTCATAATTCTTCATCCGCATATTATATCTCACTCTCTGTACATTATTTGTTTGTCGTATCACATTCTATTCTTGCTTTCTATATGTGATACTGTTTGGGCTGAGTTCTATGAAATGTGAGCCATTGAGACTTGAGCGGTTGATGATTGATATGGGCCATAGAGCCGTATTGTGATTTATAGTGGATCGGGTTGCATGCGGTAACAGATTGATATTTGGACCGGATTGTATGCTGCAATGGTTATATTGATTATTGATTAGAGCTTGGGCAAGGATCCGCCCCTCCGGAGTCTCGTATTATAGCGAGCACAGACACAGTGATATATATGTTCTTTCGTGATTTGTGCCAAGCACCCGTACAGTGCTGAGTGTGGTTGTGTGTGATGGTGAGGGGAATTTGTGCCAGGCACCGTGAGTATGCTGAGTGTGAGTATACTTGATGGTTTCACCGTAATGTCATTGACTTGACATGTATACTTGACATGTAGGCATGAAGATGTATTTTTCTCATGCTAGATAGTAAATGAAATGTCTTATCTGTTGTTGAAAGTTTGAAAATATAACAGTTCCGAGATAAACTCATTTTTTAGTGATTTTGGTGAAAGGTTGGTCTTTGACTGTTATACTTAGAAAACATGTCTAATTTTTCGTATTTGTGAATGAGCTGAACATGACATCTTTTGACCTTTTTACTTTACTTTTATCATTATATCATGTTTGTTATTGATTATTGGTGTTGGACACTGAATCTCTTTCGAGTTTGTCGCTGCTTTTAGTCCGATGTTAGGTTTGTCACTTATTGAGTATATGGGGTCGGTTGTACTCATACTACACTCTGCACTTTATGTGCAAATCCAAGTACTTCTGGGCGTGGTAATTGCTAGCGTTCGCACCGATACTAACTTGTGGAGACTATGAGGTAGCTGCTATGTCGTTTGCAGACCTTGAAGTTCTCTTTGTTTATTTCTCTTATCACTGTTCTATCGTCTAGACAATTTGTATTGAGGATTTGGCTATGTATTTTAAGATTCTTTAGTTCTCTTGTACTCGTTGACACTAGATTAATGTGATGGTTGTAGTTGTTTAATTGTTGTTTTTCTCAGATATTTTTATGATATTACCATTGTTGAGATAACTAAGCTTCTGTTAATTTAGTTATTTTTATTGTGAAATGGTTTGCTTGCCTAGCAAGCACTATTAGGCGCCGTCACGGCTCCGTGGGAGTTTGGGTCGTGACAAGTTGGTATCAGAGCACTAGGTCATCTAGGTCTCACGAGTCATGAGCAAGTTAGTAGAGTCTTGCGGATCGGTATGGAGAAATCTGTACTTCTCTTCGAGATGCTACCGAACTATTATGAAACTTCACTTTCTTGCATTCTTGTCGTGCGGATTTGTTAATTCCAAAGTCTGAACCTTTACTCTTCTATTCGCTCACAGATGGTGAGGACACATTCAGCTGATCAGGAGCCAGAGCCCCAGACTGCAGCCACCACCAGAGGTATAGGCCGGAGCCAGGGTAGAGCTAGAGGTAGAGGTAAAGCTCAGCCTAGAGCATGTGCAACAACACCTGATGTTGAGCCTCCAATTGAGCACGATGGGGAGGTCCCTGTTTCGACTGCTCCAATAGGACCAACTTAGGTCACAAAGGGGTTCATTTCTACCAGTACTTCAGAATGCCCTAGTCCACTTAGTTGGTCTTATAGAGAGTGTGGCCAGGATCATATATTTCTTGCACCACCACTCGTTACTCATGCCGGGGGAGAGGCTTAGACCCCTGATACTCACACTCCAGAGCAGATGGCTCACGAGTATCATACCCAAATAGTTCTATCAGTTAGAGCAGCTCAGCCAGTTTTTGCTACACAACCTAGAGAGAGAGAGCTACGATGTCAACTGAGGGGTTGAAGAGATTGGACAAGTTTACCAAATTGTTTCCCACTCTCTTTGGTGGTACACCTTCTGAGGACTCCTAGGATTCTTTGGACCATTGCCATGAGGTATTGCGCTACATGGGTAAAGTGGAGTCCAACAGAGTTGACTTTGCAATGTTTCAGATACATGGCTCTACCAAAAGATGGTGGTAGGTGTCACGCCCCAACCTCGGGAGGCGCGACCGGCGCTCAATCGAGTGAACCCAACTGAGCAAGCCTTATTAACACTTTCTACCCAACTCAATACGATTAAGGAAGCCATGCTTTCGTTTATTTAGTCAATAGCAAAATCGAACATTCACATTGTTAATTCATTTTCATGTCACAAACCTTAAATCATGACTAAGTTCCCAAGATTTCATACAGTTATAGTTTAGAAGAACTAGAGTATAGAGTTACAACACAGTTCATTGACCCATCCAACACCCGTACATAACCCACACAAACGTCTACGGAGCCTCTATGGATACAAAAGACAAATTATGACAACGCCGGCAACAAGGCCCCGGCTATACCTCAAAAGTGGAAGTCTACAACAAAAGATGTACAACATAACCCCTTGAAGGAAAAAGGGGCTCACCAAGACTTTGAGAGGAGGACACTCCGCTACGCACGATCGACACTGTCCGCTATGGAGCCACCTACATTCATTTAAAAATGTAGCGCCCCCGGCAAAAGGGACGTTAGTACCATGGAATAGTACTAGTATGTATAACTAAACACCATCTAGTTAGAAAGAAATATCATACAAGAACAAGGAAATTGCAAGTATAACTCAAAAGCTTTAAACGATCACCACATCATCAAATAAAAGAATCATACAACTTTCACATCATTTTTCCATACCTTTTAGTTTGGGGCATTTCATACTGTTCATCATTGTTCGCAATACCACCGCTATCTTGAGCGGAGTCCGATCATGACCCGATCGGCTAGGTTGCCTCATTTGAGACATATACCTCAATCACAATCTCATTCTCCTTTTTCGGAATTCAATAACAGCATAATACCACCATGTGGGCGGCATGGCGTCCGATCACGGCCCGATCGGCTAGGCCGCCTTCCATGGCATTGTTCCTTTCTCAATAATCATCTCGTTTCAATCTTTATTTTACATATATCAATTCATAGGCACTTGGGGCCACAATTATCACATTGTTCTTGGCACTAGGCCACATTTCACCTCATTTCCAATTTCAATGTTAGCTTTGCAATTAAGGATAATAGGTGCACACAAAAGCAATTTAAGTTGAAAGTATAAATAAGATTTCACATAGATGGCACAACACAACAATCGCAGTTTCAATCTCGATTTGAGGTCTAGGCATTTCAATACATGATTCATATTCTTCGCTCCTTTTTAAGTTATCAAGAATAGCACATTGATCATATTGAGACACACCTTTCACGTATATAAAGTTGCAACACCAATTCATGTGAAATTAACAATCAATACATCAATCCAACTTTAATCTTACTGCATTTACACAAACACCAACGTAGCTTAATTTCTAAAAAGAGGGGGTTTTAGCCATACGTACCTCAATAGAGCTTTCCTTAAATTCTTACAAAATTCCGGGACTCTTAGCACTTCAATCTATTTTATAGGAATTACAAATTGAACCAAGAATTAGAGACATGATTAAGATTCTAGCTCATTTGAGCATATTATCAAGCACTAAGTGTGCATTGTCATCTTAGGACACTTTTGTGAGAGATTTTTATCATCTTACACCCCAATTGCTATCTTTTTAACTCACAACCTCCCCATACTCTATTGTCACTCATGCATGCAAGATTATCAACCCTTATACCCATGAATCCACTTGCTAATCACTTATTTTAATAGAAATTTCGAAATCATAGATTAGGGTACAAGTGCTTACCTCTTAGGGTGAAGACCTAGTAATTTCACTAGACAATCTTCAAGGATTTGGGGCAAGAATTGAGTTGAAGCTTGGTGGGGATCACTTTCTCTCTCTAGAACTCTTGCTCTCACTCTAAATGCAGTAAAATAACATAAAAAGGGTCTAATGGGGTGTTTTTAATGGGATGGGGTCGGGTTTTAAAAGTTAGAAAATAG